TAAAAAAACAAACACACAAAATGGAAGGGAAAGTGCACATGGATTAAGCCCCCATCCATAGAACAGGGATGTGAACGGAATGCATTGGAGAGAGGCTTCTTGCACTTGCAGCTAAGTTAAAATTTCACAAGTTATCATGCACTCTCCCTTTTGACCCATTTTAAATTTGTTCCATTTTTTAATATTTTCTGCTTTCTTTTTGATCGGAGTTTTTCTGTTTCACTTTGTCCTGGTTGTTGGTTTTGTTTTTCTCTCTCATATGTTTTTCTGCATATAAAATCCAGGATAGGTCATCTATAGACAGTAAGTAGAGAAATGGTTTCTGGGGGGCCTGGCAGGGGTGGGGCTGGGAGGAAATGGGGAGCTACTAACAGCGAGTATAAGAAAGATGAAAATGTTCTAAGATTGATTGTGGTGATACGTATACAACTCTTGTTCACATAAGTGAACGACTGAATTTGATATGTGAATTGTATGCCAATAAAACTGTTACAAATGAAGGGAAGTGAGAATGTTCCTTCCAAACAAAAATGGCGAGACTTCCTCTCCCATGTTTTGAACGTGTTGTCAGAAGAGGCTCAGCCTTGGTGAATGACATCGTGCTTGGAAAAGTGAGGGTCAATTGAAAGACGACCTCCAGCGAGATGGACCGACTCCTTGGTAGTTAATAAGACGATGCAAATAGAGTATGTAAAACCACCCAGTCAGATTCACTGATTTTGACAGAGGACGGGATTGCTTGATTACTATGCGGGCTACCAAAGGGATCGGGATCGGTCACTTCTTCATTCTGGTAGGAGGACCAAGCTGTGAAACTGACAAGGAAGAGGTTTACACCCAGCCCTGGTGGAGCTGTGGGGTAGGTGTTGGGTGGTTAACTGCAAGGTTGATGGTTCAAACCCATCAGTTGTTCCTGATTTAAAATAGAAGACACCCTGTAGAGGCCATGGGTTTGGGTGTAGACTTTTAAAAAGGCCAATCTCAGAGACTGAGGAGGACCTCAGGACCATTAGGAGCCTGGACCGGTGTGTCCTTTGAACGTGGAGTCCCTGCACTGAAAACCTCCTGGACCGAGAGCTGTAACATTGGAGACAGTAGAGCCTGCAGCAGAGAAAGGAAGGAGGGCAGCTGAGAAAGGTAGCTGCTGTGAGCTTGCCCGCCCCACAGCGGGCGAGAGGGCAGAGGGCGGAGCGCCTTTGGGCAGGAGGCTTGCCTGGCAGGTTGGAGTGCTCTGGGCATTTGTCCATGGAGCTGAGGAGCTGTAACACTTGCCTGAGCAGGACAGAGGTCTAGGGAAGGGCATGTGGCTGGCATGGCCACACACACACACACACACACACACACACACACACACACACACACGGTCAGCAGCAGGCACAGCCTGCAGGCGTGGCTGAGTAGGTCAGGGCTGTCTTGGTTGGAAGCTGTCCTAATTGAAGAAGTGTAACCTGTCTCCTGAGTTATATCCTATTACATCCAAGTTGGTCCTGATCCCAAATTCTGACTTCTTGAACAAGCCGCATAACTGTGAAGTTGGTCCCTGTGGCCACAGTAAAGCATTAAGGAAGGCAGCAGAATCAGCTTTGGGCTGATCTTGATTCCCGCCCCTCTTCCTGAGCACAGACAAGGTGCGATGAGACTGCGCTTCAGGAGTTAGCTCACCAGCATTCATTCATCCAGCGGTCAGAGCTGCCACAGAGGCCGACTTTGGAGCCAGGCAGTCAACAGCCTCTTACCCTGTGGCCCTGGGTAGGTGACTACACTCCCTCCCAGGGAGTTTCCTGTCTGAGAGGTGAAGCCACACAGGCACTCCCTCCATGCCTTCCCCTCAGGGGTTAAGTTGGATGGGGCCTGGCCCATTCTAACATTAGCTCTTCACCTCACTACTCAATTATTCCAGAGGCTTCCTGGGAGCTGGCCAAGTCAGCAGACCCGCCTGGAGCCAGGGGGTGCCAAGAGATGCGCAGGACCCCGATCTCCTCAAGTGACTCCCTTTTCCCTTGGTCATCACCCAGCGTAACCCTACGGGCCCTTTCCCTGGGGTCCTCCAAGCCCTTTGACCTCTGAGCCACTGCCAGTCCCTAGTATGACTTGGCCTGAAGTAAAATCTGTTCTCGATTTGCATAGGGGTGTGGCACTAGAGGTCTCCAGGTGAAGCAGTGAGGTTCACCTGGGAGGGGTGAGCAGCTGCTAGAGGTAGCAGAAGCTACCTGAGTGGCAGGTCTGGGTCTTGGCCCCTGATGACACAGGGTGCTGGGCCCCGCGACACCTGAGTTTTGTCTCCACTTGTCCTTGGCCTCAAAGTGACCAGGGAAGGGACATTCCCCAAGACAAACACCACCTTCCATTCCAGGAAGTCACTCAGTAGGAAGGGGGTGGCATACAGAGGGCAGGAAGGTGACTGACATGATTACCTGACACCCACATAGTTCCTGCCAGTGTCACCCTGATGGGTGGGTGCCCAGACAGCCTTGCTCAGCCAATGGCTTCGGAATCCCAGGCTCTCTGGAAATTGTTTGTTGACCAGTGTCTCCTCCCATTAAGCATTGTGCTCCCTGAGGGCAAGGGCCAAGACTGCATTGTTCATCTCCGTCAGCCCTGGGCCCAGCTGGTACACTGCTGAGGCCAAGAAAACTCGAGTGGAATGAAGAAGTAGACAGCTGTCCTGGCTAGTGGCCAGGCCACTGACAACACCCTTCACCTCTGTGGGGATGATCCCAGGGCTTCGCCTCCAACACCAGTCCTGGGAGTCTCAGGGGCACCTGGAACTCACCATGGTCCTCCTCTCCCCAGACAATGACATCACCGGCTAACCACCCAGATCTCGCCCCATGAGAGTCAGCCAAGTCTACCTCCTCAGTGGTACTGAATTCATCTTGAGTTGCATCCACCCTACTGACCCTAGCGCAAATGGCTCCTCTCCTTCCTTCCGGTCTCCCTGTTTTACCCATGGTAGTGGGTTACATGTTGGGCTGCTAACCGAAAGGTCAGTGGTTCAAACCCACCAGGCACTCCACAGGCAACAGATGAGGCAGTCTGCTTTCTTACAAGAGCACAGCCTTGCAGTTTGGCTCCACAGTCTTGCTCACTGACATCCGTAGGAGGGCAGAACCGCCCCTGTGGGTTCCCAAAGACTTTCACTCTTTATGGGAGTAGACCACTTCATCTTTCTCCCTTGGTGCTGCTGGTGGTTTTGAACTGCTGACCTTGTGTTAGCAGCCCAGTGTGTTAACCACCACACCACCAGGGCTCCTAAGGGTTTGCTACATCAGAATCAAAGCCATGG